GCCCTGGCTCGCCGCGGGCGCGCCCGTCGCCGTGTCGCGCGGCGGCGGCGCGGCGTGCGCGTGGGGCGGCCGGGGACCCGGCGGCGCGGCCTTCGTCGTCGCGGCGCCCGGCGACCTTCCGGCGAGCGGCGCGCTCGCGGCGGCCGTGCGCGACGCGGAGGCCCTCGGCCGCTTCGTCCACGGCGAGCTCGACCCCTCACTCCTCGCTAGTTAGCTCCGTGAACTGGTCCTGGCGGTCCGCGGCGTCGTCGGAGTGCTCCGCCGCGTGGACGAGCTCGAGGTCCGCGTTCATGCAGGCGACGGAGAGGACGACGTTGGAGTCGACGTGGACGAGGACGTCGCAGCAGTGGGCTAGAATGAGCGCGTCGAGGAGCGCGTCCCGCGCCTCCTGGAGGCCGCTGCCGGGCTGGTTGTGGACCTCGTTCATGACGCCGTTCCGCACGCCGCCGTCCGTGCGCCGCACGCCGTCGCGCACGACGAGGCGGTCGCCGAAGACGGACCGGAACGCGGGCGGCGCGGCCGCGTCGTCCGTCGCGAGGTAGACGAGCGCGCGCCGCTGGAACCCGCCGCGCGCGACGAACAATCGCGCGGCGACGTCGGCGAAGGTCGCGACGGCCGGGATGCGCAGGCGCCGCTGCATCTGCTCCGTCGCGGGCGTCGCGACGCGCTTGTGCACGCCGACGACGTACGCGCCCTCGAGCACCGCGGCGACCGCGGCGAACGCCGCGTTCACGGAGCGGTCGCGGACGCGGACGCGGGCCGCGTAGGCCGCCGCGTAGGCCCGCCGGTGCCGGTCGAACTCCGGCGCGTCGAAGTAGAGGCCGCGGAAGCACGCGGAGAGGTAGAGGTTCACGCGGCGCGAGCTCTTGACGACGCCGCCGTCGCGCGGCGCGAGCTGCGCCGCGATCTGCGCGTGGACGGCGTCGGCCTCGGAGGCCGGCGCCGCCGGCGGAGCGTCGTCCGGCGGGAAGGTTAGTGTGTTTTGGACGTCCGCGTCGCCGAGGGGCTCGAAGAGGTCGTCGTAGACGTTCGCGCCGACGTTCTCGGAGCCGTAGGTGAAGTGGCCCTCGTGGCCGTCCGTGCGCCAGTCGACGGCGATGGCGCAGGAGGCCGGGCAGTGCACGAGCGCGTCGAGGAGCTGGAGGAAGTTGCCGAAGAAGCCGTTGTCGTGCATGCGGACGACGACGCGCCGCGCGGTCGCGAGCGCGACGGCTTCCGCGTGCTGCCGCGTGAGCGCCGGGAGGCTGAAGCGGGTGCCCAGACCGTAGCGGAGCGGGTGGTCCGACTCGAGGAGCGCCGCGAGGAAGTTGAGCGCCGTCGACGCGGCCTCGCAGAAGATGCCGAGGCCGCGCTCGCTCGCCTCCGCGGCCTCGAGCGCGTCGGGCCCGACGAGCAGGGCCGTCGCGCGCCGCAGCGCGTTGAGGCGCGCGTGCGCGGGCGCCTCGAAGCCCGCCAGGGGCCGCGGCCGCCCCGGCGGCAGGGGCACGTGCTCGGCCACGCGCGCGAGGAGCTTCGCCATCGACTCGTGGGCGGCGACGTCGCCGGGCGTGCCGACGAAGACCTTGCCCCCGAGCTTTTTCGCGTTCTCCGCCCGGGCGCGCGCGCGCGCGCCGTTGCGCGGGGCCGACCGGCCGAAGGTCCGCGTCGCGACCGCCTCGCCGCCGCGCGCCGCCGCCGCCGCGCCGCCCGGCCGCCGCCGCGGCGCCGGCGCCGCCTCGGCCCGCGCCGGCGCGGCGCCGCGGCTCTTGACGAAGTCGCGGAAGGACATCGAGGCCGTATATGGTTTGATACTAGCCCAGCGACCCAGCCATCAGATAGCCATCTCACGGCGGGCTGCTTTTTCCGTCGTTGTCAACTTGATGAAGCCGGCGTTGCCTAGAGTACTGCTTAGCGCTAGCAGATCTTAGCCCTCGCCCCCTAGGCGACGGCGGCGGTGTCCGGGATGGCCGCGCAGAGCGCGGCGAACGCGGCCATGGCCCTGGCCAGGTTCTCGAAGGGGAGGGCGCCGGCCCGGACGTCGCGGTAGATGGCGAGGAACGCGTCGACGTCGACGGTGTCGCGGCCCGCGAGCATGGCGCGGACCTCGGCGGGCCGCGGCGCGCAGCCCGTGCACGCCTCGAGCGCCGCCGCGAGCTCCGCGCGGCCCGCGCCCGCGCGGCCGCGCTCGCGGGCGCGCCGCTCCTCGGCGTGGAAGACGCGCCGCAGGACGCGCTCGTTGGCGCCGCCGCGCGCCGCGGGCCGCGCCACGAAGCACTGGCTCACGGCCTCGGCGCTCGCCGCCTGGGAGCTCGTCGCCTCGGCCGCGGCGTCGGCGGCGCGCTGCGAGTCCCGGTCGCTCCGCAGCCGGCCCGTCGCCGCGAGGGCCGCCTGGTCCCGCGCGAGCGCGTCGCGCTTCTCGCGGATCGTCGATTCCGTCACGGCGCCCATCGCGGCGCCGCGGACCAGCGCCGTGGCTCCCGTTTACGCCCAGCCGAGCGCGAGGAACCGCCGGCGAGGACACGGGCTAGTTTTTATGCGTGTTGGCTCAACTGTCGCGAGGCCCGATCGGGGCAGCCTAGCAGCACTGTTAATGTCAACTTGATGTCAAACATTGACTCGAATCTCCAAGCCGATTCCAAGCCGTCGGTAGTCCATCGGCTCGGAGGCATCGGCGCGGCGGCATCCCGCGCAACCCGGCCAAGGTCGTGTACAAGGACCGCGACAACGGCTGCGAGGAGTGCGGGTCAGATTTCTGCTTCGACGGCGGCCATGACGAGCTCCGACAACGCGCTCCTCGGGTCGCCGCGGCCGGAGCACGTGTCGGCCCTGAAGGATCACGTCGCGGAGCCGCCGCCGGCCTGGAGCCCGCGCCTGACCGCCGCCGTGGCCTGCCTCTTTCTCTTCTTCCTCGCGCACGACGCGCTGCAGGAGCGCGCCTTCCGCACGCCGGGCTTCTCCTTCGGCTGGTTCATGACGCTCGTCGAGATCGCCGTCGTCTCGGCCTGCGCGGCGGCCCTCGAGTGGCAGGCGCTCGACGAGGCGCTCGCGCCCGCCGACGCGACGACGCTCCGGCGCTGCGTCGCCGCGCTCGCGGTCGCGCTCGCGGCGTCGCAGGGCAGCGGCTCCGCGGCGCTCAACTACGTCAACTACCCCGTCAAGGTCGCCTTCAAGTCGAGCAAGCTCGTGCCGACGATGGTCTTCGGCACGATCCTCGGGGGGAAGAAATTCGCGCCGCTCGAGTACGCCGCGGCGCTCCTCATGTGCGCCGCGCTGGCGCTCCTGTCCCTGGCGGACTTCCGGGGCGAGGCCGGCGACGGGAGGGACGGGCTCCCGCTCGGCTGCGGTCTCCTGGGCCTCGCGGTCTTCGCGGACGCGCTCGTGCCGAACCTGCAGGAGCGCGTGCTCCGGGAGCTCCGGTACCCCGTGGGGCGCATGATCGTCTACTCGAACGCGGGCTGCTTCGTCCTCGTTCTCGCCTACTGCGCCGGGTCCGGCGAGCTCCGCCCCGCGCTCGCGTGGTGCGGCGACCACGGCGCCGGCGCCGCGCTCCTCGTCGCGCAGGCGTGCTGCTCCTACGCGGGGCTCCGCGCCTACCTCGTCGTCGTCAAGGAGCTCTCGGGCGTCGCCGGCGTCGTCGTCACGTCCCTCCGCAAGGTCCTCACGCTCGTCCTCAGCTTCCTCCTCTTCGAGAAGCCCTTCTCCGCCGCGCACGCGGCCGCCTTCGCGCTCCTCGCCGCGGGCGTGGGGCTCGCGTCCTACGCGCGGGGGCGGCCGCGGTGACCGCGCTTTCTAACTAGCTAGCCCATATGCATGAACTTATTTACTTTGATTGCTTGCTTTTTGATTTGTGGGAGCGGAGCTTTAAGTATCGAACTTGAAGCTCCCCTTTTACTTGCGGTAAAATCGCAGTCCAGGGTCTTGGCTGAGGCGTTTCTCATCGCACGGTCGTCGCTCGCGGCATGTCTCTGGGGCTGCAGGTCTGTCCGTGTTGCGTGCCCCCCGTAGCAATAGGCCTGGCGACGGCGTCGCTGTGCATCGTCGCGACGGCTCGCCTCGCGCTAGAGTCTCGTGGCTTCGCGAGCAGGGCCCTCAAGTTCCTGTCCTACGTCCTCGGCGCCGTCGTGCTCGTCGCCGCGCTCGGGCTCGCGGCGCTGGCGTCGGACGGGTCCCTGCGCGCGCGCGCGTTCGCGAGGCTGTGCGAATCGCTGGCCAAGGAGCCCGCGATGCTGCCGCCGCGCTGCGAGCGCCTCGGCCTCGGCGGCGCGCTCGCGGGCCGGGCCGTCATCGAGTTCGGCCCGGGCCCGGGCACGAACTTCGCCTGCCTCGACGCCGCGAACGCGCCGAGCCGGTGGACGGGCGTCGAGCCGAACCGCCACTTCGAGGCGGCGCAGGCCGCCGCGGCCGCGCACCTAACGTTCCCGCGGGAGACGGCCTGGCTCAAGGGCGAGGACGTCGACGTGCCCGCGGCATCCTTCGACGTCGCGGTGCTCACGCACGTGCTCTGCTCCGTCGACGACCCCGAGGCGGTCCTGCGCCAGGCCGCGCGCGCGCTCCGGCCGGGGGGGAAGCTCCTCGTCATGGAGCACGTAGCCGCAGAGGATGGGACGGCGACGCGCCTCGCGCAGCGCGCCTTTGCGCCCGTCTTCGAGATCGTCGGCAACGGCTGCAAGTTCCGGCGCACGGCCGACGCAATCCGCGCCGTCGCGCCGGGCCTCTTCGAGGGCCTCGACATCGACGAGTTCCTCGCGCCCGTCCCGATCCCGTTCCTGCGGCCCCACATCATCGCCAAGGCGACGCGCGCGGCGTCGTAAGGGCGGGTTTTCCAGCGACCACTGCGGCCGCGCTCCAGCTGGCCGGCACGGCCTCGCGCCGCAAGCGCACGGGCGGCATCTTGAGTCCCCTTTACTGCGCTTATGCCAGCAGAGGTACTTGTGTAGGCGGTGGTTGAAGTAACTTAGTTGGGATGCGAGGCTGCCCTCTGTCCCTGACGAAATCCAATGCGGCTGAGATGCAGCTCACAGCCAAAACGCGCTGGTGCCGATTCGGCACCAGAATGCGGGGTAAATTTTGACCTTTGGCTCCGAGCCACCAAACTTTTGGAAACCTGAAAACCTCATCATTGCTACGCCGTGCGCCACAGCCTGATTGCGCTCCGTCAGGGGCAAGCATTCCTGGCAGCAATGCTTATGCCAACGCGCGCTGGTTTGACGGGCTTCGACGCGGCAGCAACATGCCGGGCGCCATAGAAGCGTCAATCCCGACGTGAAGAAACGGCGCCAAGAAACACTCCTGATAAGCCATCAAACGTCTGTCCATGGACGACGCGCCGCGCGTTGTACAAAAGGCGCACGGCGCAAACTCGGGCAGAGTCGCGCCGGAGCCCGTCCCGGTGATCGAGGCGCGCGTGGTCGCCGTCGCCCCCGGGCCGGAGCCGACGCTCAAGGAGCACTGCGTGTTCCTCAAGGAACAGCTCGGTCTCGAGGGACGTATCCCCGAGGTCATCTCCGGCGCGTGCCGCGCGCTGGGCGTCGACGAGACGGGCACGCTCGTGGACCGGGCGAGGCGCTGCCGCGCGGTCGTCGACGGCGGGTCGCCCGCGGCGGGCGCGGCGCCGAGCGGCGAGCGGGGCCGCGACGGCGGCGCGCCGCCCCCTCGGGAATACGTCCGGGACGACAGCGCGCGGAAGCTCCAGGGCCTCCAGCGACAGCGGATCGCCAGGGCCAAGGCCCGGGAGGCGCGCGTCCTCGCGATCCAGCAAAGGGGAGGCGTCGTCGTCGCGCAGCCCGGCGCCGCGAAATACCCAGAAGAGGCGCAGGCCGGCGCCGCGAAATACGACGCCGGGACGGCAGAAGAGGCGCGCGCGTCGGACTCGAAGGGACAGCAGCCGTCTCGCGACGACGAGATCGGTGGCGCGCTGCGTGTGCAGGGGTGGTGGTGCGTGCGCCGGCGCCGCTGGACGTGGGAGGATCTCACCTTCAAACGTAGGTTGGGCCCCGGCGTCGGGATTTGCTGCTGCCTCGGACCGGGCGGCGCCCTCGCCGTGCCGCTCGGCCCCGTCTGCTGTTACAAGCTGGAAGCACGAGGGCGCAACAGGTTTGTCATGTACACCATTTGCGATAAACCCGGGCCGAAAAAAGATGACTATTACAGCCGAAGCGGAGCGGACGGTGTCTTCAAAAATAAAAACGCGACGATCGTATTCCACGACGACTTCTGTCATTCCAGCCGCGTATCTTGGGGCTGCGGCGGCCCGCAGGGCCTCTGCGGCGGGTGTCTTTTTCTGCCGTGCATGTTCCGCATGTCGACGCCGCGATACGACGACTGGTGACGACGAATGTTCCGCGCCCGTCCCGCTCCCGCTCCCGGGGCCCCACGTCACCGCCAAGGCGACGCGCGGCGTCGTAAGGCCGGTGTTGGGGGGCGAGCCTGCGGCCGCGCTCCAGCTGGTGGAAGTGCTGGCGGCGCCGGCGATGTTTATTTGACGGTACGTTGAACTTCAAGTAAAGCCACATCGTCGCGATGGCGGTGCCCCGCGTCGGCGCGGCCGTGTGCATGCGCGACGCCGCGTCGGAGGGCGTCGTGGCGCGCGTCGACGCGTCGACGGTGCGCGTCGAGTGCGCCTGGGGCAGCGCCGAGTTCCCGGCGCCGTCGCCGGCGCCCGCCGTCGGCGGCGCGGTCGCGCTGCCCGGGCCCTGCGCCGGCGTCGTGGTGCAAATCGAGGGCGACGCCGTGGTCGTCCGCGCGGCCTGGGGCTCCTGGCGCGCGGCCTGGGCGCGCGTCGGCGCGCGGGGCTTCGGCCCGCCCGGGACGTGCGTCGCGTGGCGCGCTCCGGACGGCGCGCGGCGGACGGGCGTGCTCCTCGGCTGGCGCGCGGCCGACGGCGCGCACCTCGTCGCGCCGGGCCTCGACGTCGTCCCGAGCGGCGACGTGCTGCGCGCGCTGCCCTGCGCGGACGGCTACGCGGTCGTCACGCCGTTCGGCCGCGGCGCGGCCGCGGCCGTCGGCGACGGGGCGACGCGCGCGGTCCTGGACTGGGGCGGCCGCCTGGTGGCGCCGCACGACGCGCGGTCCGTCGCCTGCCCCGCGGCGACCGCGGCGCCCGTCGCGCACTGCGTCTCCGGCGCGGCCGTCGCCATGGTCGAGACGGCGATCGGCGCGCTCAAAAAGCTCACGGACGCGCTGCCCGCGTCCGTGCGCGACGCGCTCCTCGCCGAGGACCTCGACGACCGCATCGACGCGGGGCTCTCCGAGGCGACGGGCCTGCTGGAGCGCGACGCGCCGGCGCTCGACCGCCTCGTCGCGCGGACGAAAGGAGCGACGCGCGACCCAGGGCAGGAAAAGAGAGCGAAATTCCCAACTTCAAAGGCTCCTTTCTCGGCCGTTTTCTACTCGTTTTGGCTGACTTTTGGACGAGCGATCATCTCTCGGAACGCTCTCGAAGCGTGGATGCTATTTCCGGAACGCGCGCGCGCGGAACACTCACGTTGAAGCGACGTTGAATCACCCTTTTGCTGCCCAGGCGCGACCTCCGGTCGTCGCTCGCGACGGCGCTCGAGGCCGACGACGTCGAGGCGGAGCTCGCGGCGCTCGCGCGGCGCAAGTCGGGCGAGGCCGCCGACATCTACGAGGCCACGGCGCGGGACGTGGGCGACGAGGCCGCGGAGCTCGAGCTCTACCGGACCGCGGCGGCGTCCGACGGGCCCCGGGACCTCCGCGCGCTCGTCGACGGCGCGTCGAGCGAGCTCGCGAGCTCCCTGGAAAGAGCGGAGGCGGACCACCCGGAGCTCCGGCGCGCGCGCGACGAGGTGACGGACCTGTCGGGCGCCGTCGGCGCCGCCGTCGCGGAGTCGCGCGCGGCGCGGGATTTGGAGGCCGAGGTCGGCCGCGCGCGCGCGGCGCTCGAGGCCGAGAGCCGCACGGGCGCCCTCGCGACGCTCATGGGCGCCGAGGTCGGCGCGGACAACCGGGGCGACGCGCTCAAGGCCAAGGCCCGGGAGGTCGCGGCGCGCGTCGTCGCGAGCAAGCTGCTCGACGGCGACGCGTTCGAGCGCGCGTTCGACGACGCGCTCGCGGCCGCGCGCGCGAGTTCCTGGTCCCTCGTCGCGGAGAGCGCCGGCGGCGCGGGCGAGGCCGCGGCGGCCGTCGCCCACGCGGCGGCGGACTTCGCGCGGGCCTGGCTCCGCGAGGCGCGGTCCGCGGGCTTCTCGCGGCTCCCGCCGGACGCGGCCGCGGACGCGCTCCGCGCGGCCCTCGCCGCGGCCGTGGAGGCCGCCGAGGCCTGCGGCCTCGGCGAAAGCTGGCTCCTCGACCTCGCCGTCGCCGCGGACGCCTACGAGGGCGCGCTCGCGCGGGCCGCGACCGCGTCCGTCGACGAGTTGGTCGCGACGCTCGCCGAGGGCGCGCCCGAGTCCGGCGACGACCTCGCGCGGCGGGCGGCGACGCTCGCCCTGGGCTACGCCGGCGGCGGCGACCACAACGCCCTCGGCGCGCTCCTCGCGGAGTCGCCGCTGAAGTCCGCGCTCGAGGACGTCGCGGGCAGCGGCGACGTCGCGGCCGCGAGCCGCCGCGCGCTCGACGGCGACGCGGCCGTCGACGGCGTGCGGCGCGTCGCGGACGCGTCGGCGTCGCTCCTCGAGACGCTGAGCGCGCTGAACCGCGACGAGCGCGTCATGCACTTTGCCCAAATGGCGACGGACGACGACGGCGTCCGCGACGCGCTCGACGCCGTCGCGACGCTCGACGCGGACGACGTCGTCGCGACGGCCGAGTCGCTGGCGGCCGACGCGTCGGCGCGCGACGACGTCGTCCGCAAGGTCAACGACGCGGCGCTGGGCTTCTTGCTGCGCCACCTGCCGGCGATGCCCGTGCCCCCCGTCGACGTCGAGTCCGACAACGTCGACTACTTCCTCGACAATTTGAATTTGTCCCAGCTGCGCATCGACGAGAACGACGTCACCGTCGACGTCGCGTCGTCCGACGGGTCCCGGGTCGTGCGCAAGGGCGTCGGGCTCCGGGCCGGCGGCGACGACGCGGACGTCGACGGCGGCGGCGCGCTCTTCGCGCTCAAGGCCGTGCGCATCTCGGCGACGTTCCCGAACCTGACCTGGCGCTTCCGGCAGAAGCAGTTCCCCTTCCTCGAGGCCGAGGGCCGCGCGGACGTCGCCGTCGCGGACGGGGCGGGAAAAGGGTGCGAACTTCCCAACTTCTCCTCTCTCGGCCGCGTCCCGCTCGTTTCGGCTGATTTTGGGACGAGCGATCATCTCTTGGAACGGTCTCGACGCGTGCATGCTTGTTCCGGAACGCGCGCGCGCGGAACTCTGACGTTGAAGCGACGTTGCATCACCCTGTTCCCGCCCAGGTCGCGGACGCGTCCGTCGCGCTCGCGCTGAGCGCGCGGCGCCGGAACTCGGAAAGCGGCGACCCGGAGCCCGTCGTCGCGCTGACGCGCTGCGACGTCGCCATCGACGACCTCGAGCTGACCATGGACGAGCACCGCTTCTCCTGGGTCTTCAACTCCCTCGCGGGGCTCTTCCGGGACCAGATCCGCGACTACGTCTGCGAAGCTTTACGGGACCTCGTCGTCGACAAGAGCCGCGACCTGCTCGAGCCCATCAACGCGCTCCTCGGCGCGTCCTGGGCGCCGCTCCGGCGGGCGCTGGACCTGCCGGACGTATGCGACCTGCCGCGGCTCGAGGGCGACTGCGCCGCGGGCGACGTCGACGTGACGCTCCGGGCACCGGGGCCCCTGGGCCTCGAGCTCGCGCAGCACCCGGACGACCCGCGCCACCTCGCCGTCGCGGGCCTCGTCGCCGGCGGCCAGTGCGCCGCGGCGCTCGCGCAGCAGGGCTTCTCCGCGGACGACGTCGCCGGCGCGCGATTGGTGTCCGTCGACGGCGGGGCAGGACAAGAGAGCGAAATTCCCAACTTCAAAGGCTTCGATCTCGGCCGTTTTTCACTCGTTTCGGCTCATTCTTGGACGAGCGATCATCTCTCGGAACGGTCTCGAAGCGTGGATGCTTTTTTCGGAACGCGCGCGCGCGGAACACTCACGTTGAAGCGACGTTGAATCTCTCTTGTCCTGCCCAGGTCGACGGCGCGGACGCGCGGGACCTCGCGCGCGACGACACGGTCGTGCGCGTGACGTCGCCCGCGCGGCCCCGGGTGCTGGGGCTCGAGCTCGCGCCGGGGGCCCGGGCCGCGCGCGCGCGGCGCCGCGGCGGCGGCCGCGGCGGCCGCGCGGCGGACGTCGTCCTCTTCGACGCGTCGCCGCCGGGCCGGCGCGCGGAGACCATCGGCCTCAAGCTCAAGACGCACGGGACGATGACCGAGGCCTGCGTCGTCAAGGACTTCGCGCGGGGGCCGAACGGCGAGGTCGCGGCGGGCGAGCGGCGCGGCGCGACCGTCGGGTTCCTGCTCTGCGCGTGCACGGGCGCGCCGCGGCTCCCAGGGCAGGAAAAGAGTGATTCAAGTTCGCTTCAACATGAGTGTTCCGCGCGCGCGCGTTCCGGAAAAAGCATCCACGCGTCGAGAGCGCTCCGAGAGATGATCGCTCGTCCAAAAATGAGCCGAAACGAGCGGAAAACGACCGAGAGAGGAGCCTTTGAAGTTGGGAATTTCGCACCCTTTTCCTGCCCAGGCGGCTCCTCCGCATGTCCGCGGGCTACGCGACGCCCGCGCTCGTGGGGCGGCGCGTGCTCGCGGAGGCCAAGGCCGCCGCGGCGAGTGGGGCGGCCTTTTCCGTGACGCTCGCGCCGCCGCCGGACGTCGTCGTCGCGCTCGCGGCCGGCGACGCCTTGAACGTCGCCGTCGGCGACGTCGACGGCCGCGCGTACTTCGTCCTCGGCGACCAGCCCCAAAACCTGGCGGACCGCGGCTTCGCGCCGGGCCTCGCGCTCGTCGCCGTCGGCGACGCGGCCGTGAGCCCGCGGACGGACGCGGTCGCCGACGTCAAGCGGCTCCTCGCGGACGCGGACGCGAAGACGGCCACGCTCCGCGACGTCCCCAAGTACGAGCACCTCCTCGCGCGCTTCGCCACCGACGACTGAGGCGCGTCCTCGTCTTTTTTTTATAAGAGCGCGGTTTCGGTTCGGTCGTACGCGTCGGGCTTCAACAAAGGGCTGCATAAATTAAGTTGACGGCACATTGACCAGGGCGCTTTTGCTCTGCGATGACTCGATCGATGTCAACCTCGCCTTTCACCACCGTGAGGCGCCTCTTGCTGCACGCGTGCGCCTGCGCGGCCCTGCGCCCCGCGGCGGAACGGCGCGACGTCCTCGTCGGCGCGCCGGCGGCCCTGCGCACGGCCCTGGTCGCGCCCGGCGTCGCCGCCGCCGCCGCGCCGCCGCCGGACGGGTCGCTGACGACGCTGCGGCGGCGCGTGGGCCAGCGCGTCACGACGGCGCGGCCGTCCTACGGCCTCGACGCGAGCGACGTCTACTACCCCGACTTCTTCGAGGGCTCCTGGCGGACGACGTCCACGGCCGTCGACGTGCAGGCGCCGCTCGGCGCGGCGCTCTTCGGCGGCAACGCGTCGCTCGCCGCCGCGCTCAAGGAGCTGCGGTCGCCGCCCGTCGTCTACGACTGCCGCTTCGTGCGCGACGCGCGCGGGCGGCTCGTCGCGGACCGGCCCTATAACATTCAGAGCTTGGCGGCGGCGACGATGGGCGGCGCGGGCGCGGTGCGGGACCTGCCGGACTCGGCGAACTTCAACCCCGACGACCTGACCTTCAAGCTCGCCCCCGAGGGCTCCGGCGGCGGCGTCTACCTCGCGCGGCTCCGCGCGCTCGCGCGGCGCTACGAGCCCGCGGCGGGCGAGATCGTCGACGGCGCGGGCCGCCGCGTCTTCGACGTCGGCGAGCTCACGCGCCAGCAGCTGTCCCTGCCGGGCGGCGCCGCCGTGCCGCCGTCCGTCAAGGACATCGAGACCATCAACTGCTTCACGCGGCTCTCGCCGACGCGGGTCGCGGCCGTCCAGCGGACGTCGACGTGGCTCGTGGCGACGGAGGGCTACGCCGCGATGCGCGCGCAGGCCGCCGACGGCCGCGCCGTCGACATCCGCACCTACGACGTCCTCTACGAGCGGCTTTAAGCGAACTAGAACTCAGTCGGCGAAGGTCGCGGGCGCGAGGTGCGCGGCCTCGAGCGGCGCCTTCGTGCGGAGGAGGTACTGCTGGACGCCCGCGCCGCTGTCCGCGCTCACGGCGACGCCGGCCTTGGTCTTGCGCACCTTCATCGCCGCCGCGAGCGCGAAGTTGAGCACGACCTTGCCGACGTCGTTGCGCACGACGACGCGCTTGTCGCCGTCGCCGCGCTCCATGACCCGGAGCTGGCCCTTGCCGAGGTCGCGCCACTGCGGCGCGTCGCCGCCGTCGCCCTTGTCGTAGCGCCGCATGGCGCAGCGCGACTCGAAGACCGTCGACTCGTCGCCGTCGTCGCCCCGCTGCACGGCGACGAGCTCCTCCTTGGGCATGGCCTCGTCGTCGTCGCCGGCGGCCGCCGGCGCGGCCGCCGCCGCGCCGCCGCCGAAGGAGAAGGCCCCGGGGGCCGCGCCGCCGCCCGCGGGCGCCGCGCCGAAGGAGAAGCCCCCGGGGGCCGCGCCGGCCGCGGGCGCCGCGGCGCCGAAGGAGAAGAGGGGCTTCGCGGGCGCCGCGTCCGCCGCGGGCGCCGCGGGCGCGGGCGCGCCGAACGCGAAGAGCGGCGCCGCGGGCTTCGCGGGCGCGGGCGCGGCGGCGTCGCCGCCGCCGAGCGCGAAGCCGAAGGCCGGCTTCGGCGCCGCCGCGGCCTCGGCGGCGAAGAGCTTCGGCGCGGCCGCGGGCGCCGCGGGCGCGGCGGGCGCGGCGGGCGCGGCGGGCGCGGCGTCGCCGGCGAGCCGCTCGAGCTTCTCGACGTAGGCGACGTAGTCGCGGACGCCGGCGGTCCAGGGCGCCGACGGCGCGGCCGCCCGCTGGCGCTGGAGCCACGCGAGGAAGGCCTTGTTGCATTTCGCGACCTTGTCGGCCTTGGACGACGGCCGCGCGGCGCCGTTCGCGGCGGCCGGCGGCGCGCGCGGCGGCGCGGGCGACGACTCCATGGGCGCGGGCGGCGGCGGCGGCTTCGCCGACGCCATGAAGCTGCTCCCGGCGCCGAAGCCGCCGCCGGCCGGCGCGGCGCCGAAGGCGAACGCCGGCTTCGCCGCGGCGGGCGGCGCGGCGGGCGCGGCGCCGAAGGCGAAGGCCGGCGCGGCCGCGGCGGGCGGCGCGCCGGC